TTTTTGTTACGCTTAACTTAGTCTGGTATAAGGCCATTGTATCAGCGCATCAAAACAGCATTGTTTAGATGAGTGAATTAATCTGTAAGACAAGCTTGATGAGTATCACGCTACTGCAAGCGCACCCAAATCCAGCAAAACACAATAATAGTAGACCACATATTGAGTTACTTGAGTTTCAGAAATAAATTTGTCGTTCTACTTTTACATAGTTCTCTTCAAATCTCTCCCTCTCTCTCTCTCTCTCTCTCTCTCTCTATATATATATATATATATATATATATATATATATATATATATATATTAGGATATTACATGGAAAACAAGTATAAATCGCTACACAATTGCAGTCGTGTTTCGATGCGTATCAAATGCATCTCATCCGAAGATTGTAAGTTACTGGCGCGTGCTACTTTGTATTGAGCCCTCTTTTAAATTAAATGTTATATATATATATAAACTTAAAACATTAGGCAGCATATAATTTACATACAAAGAAATAATCACACATAGAATCAATCAGAAGTATTAATGCGATTATTAGCGACATCCATCGCTAAACATAATATATGCATTAAAATACTGTTAATCCATAGTGTGAAGTGATCCTCGTCGATAAACTTGTTGTCTGTAGTTTTCAGTTTATTTGATGTTAAAATACTAGTACTTACGAATAGTCCTCTATTCATCATCAGGTATATGTTTTTTTCCTTATAAAATCAAAAACTTGGAGACGAAATACTTGTATGTCGACCGAAAGATGTTTTTTGAATATCTGCTATTATTGACGGTTGTGTAAGATCTCGAACGTGCAAAGACGCAACGTTTATTTATTATTATTTATTAGTTCATATATATATATATATATATATATATATATATATATATATATATATATGAACTAATAAAATTTTACACAAATGTTGCTGTCAATACTAGGAATATAGTTACTTTTGTAACCGATGGTAAACTAGCTATTCTGTGATTGTAGACTACTCTCTACTAACGATGGTGTCAACTCTTGCCATCTCTGTTCAGCTGGGGGTGCCTGTGTTTAAATGGTGGACAGTTGAGTGATATAAGTCGTACTCAATGTAATGAGTCAAGTCAAATTTATGAATAGCAGAAGACAGTTCAAGTCGAAGTTCTGAGTAGTGGAAGACAATTCAAGTTATAGTTTAAGTCACCTATTTTTTTTTTTTTTAATGACAGTATGAAAGTGGTGTCTCTTACTTACCATAACAAGAAATGGACATGAGAAGGAAGCGTTTAGCATGAGGTTTTATTCAAAATTCGATATGGGCACCAGATTTCGATACCAGTTTCTCGAGTCGACTAAGAAACGCGTCAGTTGATTTCACCAGGAATTCTTGTGGTATGGAAGACATAACCTCTTGTATTCGCTCCTTTAACCCCCCCACTAAAAAAAAAGAGGGTTAAGTCAGGACACCTGGTTGGCCACTCAGAGTGTTACTTTTCAATCTCTGTATATATATATATATATATATATGTGTATATTTTATATAAAAGGACAATTTTGGGGAAATAGGTATGAGAAAGTGGAAAAAGATGTTTACGTTGATACGATTACGCATGCGCACGAACGAGAGACGCTGAGAATTTTTTTTTTTTTTTTTGCGTTTTAGTATATAATCTCGTCAATTTCATTTAGATTAGTTTTTCTTTCTGTTTCCTTTATTGTTAAATATCTCACATTGTGATAACAGAAGATCTGTTAAGAATGGTGAGACATTGTAAGATGCTCAATACTTCGCTAAAAAAGAGCATACCCTAATGAAAAAAAAAATTTTTTTAATTTTTTAATCCTTTATAGCACGTCCGAAATTTTAGTTAAAAACCTTGCTTTTCTTTAGTCATCAAAATTTACATAAAATCGATCATGTCAGCCATTTTTGACAGTTTTGTAAACAAAAGTGAAATTCTCCGTTTAAAAAATCTTTTAAAATTCAATTATACTTTTTTCAAAAGTTATTTTAGGAAAATTAGAAAATTTAAAATATACTTAATGTAATTTGAAACAAACATTACTTAATTTTTTAACAGAAAAACTATAGTTGGAAATAAGAGAAGCATGTCTAAGTGTGGTGATTGGTTTTGGAGGTGTGAATTGACGTTTACGTCAATGTATAGACAACTAACACCTGGGCAATCTATCAGACGGAAGATCAGAAGTGACAGTATTTTCGAATTTTAAGTGAACCAACTTATTTAACTATAAAGTAATTCTTAAAAATTAAATACTTTTAAAAGTCTAATATTTTATTGCTTTTTACGTACTTTATTTTTAACAAAGATATGTCCAAAGCCTGAAATGTTTGCGTCCCTAAAATTGAATCTAAAAAAAGAAAAAATTAATAATTGCAGTATGCCTCTCACCGAAAAAGAAAAAAATGATTATATCTAAAAAGTGAAAAGAAAATATTTGGTGAAATATGATAAAAAAAAGAAACATTTAAAAATTTTGAAAATGCGACGATAATGGTCTGACCATCTAAAAAAAGATCTTTTAATGAGAGCATTTCCATAGATGTTTTATATTCAAACTTAATTTTAAAATATTTAACAACTTTATCACATTTTGAATTTACAGTTGAACAAAAAGAAAACAATTCTTGTAGAAATTCATTTTTCATCGAAAAATATTTTGGCTTCAGACAAAAAATGTCCTTAATATATATTATTCCTGAAAGCCATTTAAAGCTTTTTAAAATTATGTAATGTCTTATTGGGTTTTGTATTTTACAATTCAGAGCTAAATTTTGAGTAGAAACGCTCCTCGATTTACAAAAGCAATCGATGATTTATATTCTTCAAAGCTTTCTGCATTTAAAAAAAAATTACAGAGATGCTCATATTCGAGTTTTCAAGTTTTCATAAAATTAAGGGACTGTAACAGATGTAAAAAAAAAAAATACCACGACTTTCTAAAAAACAAACATTTTAAAAATAATTTCATTTATTTTTGAATAAGTTCTGAAAGTTTCATTAAAATCCGGCAATTATTTGATTTTTGCAAGAATTTCCAAAATGTATTTTTCAACTGAAAAAATGCGCTAAAAAAAAACTGCTAAATATTGCACGACCGCTGACGTAAAAAAAAGAAAAAGATTTTCATCCAAAGTTTCAAACGTGCTAGAAAAGAATAAACAATTTTTTAAATAATTTTTTTAAATAATAAATCAATCCCCAAGCTAAATATCTATTAATATTTCTCAAAATCATCATATTTCCGTATAAATGTACATGCTTACGTTCATTGTCGTAGCGCAATCATAATTTTTTGGCCTATTTACTGCTTTCCACTGCTCTTACTCGTCGAAATTACTGCGCACTATCGTAAGTAAGAACAAACAGAAAACCCTAACCCTAAATTTGTTTTTGTTAGAATTTTCTTTCAGGCATTTCCTTACATTGTAATTTCATTTTTTTAAAATTACCTTGCTCTTTACGGAAATGAACGTAAGTGATCCGCAGTGAATCTAACTGCACAAAGCCGGTAATGGTGATCGGATGACCGCGATTAAATCCGATTTTTTTTCTGGTTGATAACTCCAAAACGGTAGGTTTTATCATAATTCGAATTCAGCATGTACATTTATACGGAAATATGATGATTTCGAAAAATTCTAATAGATGTTTAACTCGGGGATTGAAAAGAAAATTGACCAAAAACATTTGCCATGACTTTCTACAAAACAGATATTTCTAAAATAATTTCATTTATTTTTTAATAAGTTCTGAAAGTTTCATTATTTAATTTTTGCAAGAATTTCCAAATTAATGTATTTTAGAAAATTAAATGCTAAATATTACGAGATCGCTGACGTAAAAAAAAGAAAAAAACAAAACAAAACAAAACAAGATTTTCAACCAAAGTTTCAAATTTGCTAGAAAGGAAAAAAAAAAAATTTTAAATAATTAAAAAATATTTTGGTCTTTCCTCTTATTAATAGCATAGACTTTTTCACGATAAAATTTTGATTTTATTAAGTTTATGGTCTTTATCATCATGCTATGCTGTTTTTTTTTTTGTTTTTTTTTTTGTCAAATTTACTGTGGATGAACGAGCGATTAAAGTACTTTCTAAAAATTTCTCTTAGTGAATTGTTTTCTTTTAATTAATAGCATTTTTTATTTCAAAATTGTGATCAGTCTTGTTTGCAGTGAGCAACTAATGTGTTTATGCGTTGTTTTGTAAAATATTGTTATAGAAAAAAATATAAATTAGGTTAACCTACAATATGTAAGCGTAGTATCCGTCATAAAATGACTATTTACATTTAATTCGGCACTTCTAAGGGTATGTGGGCCCTCTGTCTGGAATACTCTCTCTCTCTCTCTCTCTCTCTCTCTCTCTCTCTCTCTAGTAGGAGGCATTACTTTTGAGGCGTCTGTAGAGGACTGTGTGGGTTTACGTGTTGTTAAAGTAGGAACACGTGCTGTTTATTTCCTGCTAGAAGAACGTCCAACTACGTAACATGGCGGACTCAAGTTGAGTCCAACCGAAAAGATAAAGAAAACAATCAAGACCGATATATATAGATGTCAACAAATATATGTGTTAAACAACAAATTTACAAGTGACAAAGACATCAACTTTTTATGTGTGAACGTAAAGAATTTGTATATATTGGTGAAAGTTCGTACGTACGTGTATGTGCGTGAAATGCAAAGTGAAAAAGAGAACGAGGCAAGAAGTCGCCTAGTATTTATAGTGTAGGAAGAGCGACACCTAGTGAACAATTAAGGAATTAAGGAGGAACTAACTCCGGCACGTCTCTCATATGCCTTTGTTTATATTGAGTCGGAACAAAAGTTCTTCGCATTTTTAAGTGGATTTCAAAGACAATATTGAAATATTCGCACATAGATTTATATTCCTACCCATATATATTATTTGTTCCACTACCTTTCACCATCTTTGGGGCAACTTCATAATGCTATGTTCTGCCATCTTTTTGATAAGTAGTTCTTCCAGTTTACGGCCACATCACATTGGAACATCGGTTCCTGTACGATCACCAAAGTTAAGCAACGTTGAGCCTAATCAATACCTAGATGGGTGACCGTTTGTGAATACCAGGTGATGTAAGATTGTATGTGCGGGTGGTGTAATTGATAATGGATGAGAAATTTTAATCTGAGAGCCGAGCTCCAATTCCAGTTGGGTTCGTTATATTCACTTACACGTAAATAACCTTGGGAAAGGTATGAATCCACTTCTTCTCCCCCAGATATGGGTTAATTCGTAAGACTTGTATCATTAAACCATTATTATCTCCCTCCAAAATTCTTACAATTTATTTTTTTCTGGCTTTAAATAACCTGCCGGAGAAAAACGAATCAACAAAATCAATTCAGGTTTCCAGAGAATTAAAGTTCATAAACAAAATTTTGTACAGGTCTAAATATGTCCTGGGTAAGACGATAAACTACATCCAACAGCAAGGCCTCTGATCAGGAGATTTTGAGGAGCGTGGAACCACCTGTTAACTGCCGGCGTTCCCAGGTTCACCCTGACCCGGGGTGGTAGCCCCTGTTAGGGTCCCATCTATGGGCAAATAGTTAACCCCCTAAAACACCATGAAAGTACAAAAATAGGTTTTAATACCACAAATACTCTGTAAAAAAATATTACCAGCAATACATTTAAAAAAAAAAAAAAAAAAGATATTTCCAGTTAAGCATTTTTGAAGAAAAAATATTACAAGAAATAAAAAATTTGTCGGCATCAAATAACTCATTGAGGTTGATATGCCGTAAACCAAACCAAACCAATCCAAAGGAGTCTAAATTAGTATTTATCCGAAAGTGCAAGGTTAGGTGTATACGATTGGTGTAGTAGGATATCCCGCCAAGTTGTATCGGTTTCTGCCGGGTCACCAAAAAGATATGGGAGACATGGCGTTGTCCTTGATGAAAGACGGCACCTTTCCAATTAGCCAATTCTCAACACTTTTCATCGATTTCTTCTTTCAATTGGCCCAATAGGGAAAATTACGTGTTTGGATTTTTCCTTCCGGATATCAAATAATGAAAAATACAACTGATTTTCCTTCATTTTCACTTTCAGCGTAAAAACATTTAAACTTCACAATGCACGCACAGAACTTATTGAAAGACACCTTGAAAACGAAATCACGTGTTAAAACGCTACTTAAAACGATTCGAACTTTTGTTCGAATCACACACACACACACACACACACACACACATATATATATATATACACACACACACACACAGAGTGTGATTGAAAAGTAACTCCCTGTTTTATTATGATGGTCTCTCACGTTGAACCATAATTATTACAAGACCGTAGAGCCCATCATACATAAAATATGGAGTTAATTTAACTCATATATATATATATATATATATATATATATATATATATATATATATGCAATAGATAGAAAGCGCAGTAACAACGTTAGACAGATTAATTTTTTAACTACAAAATACAGTTTTGTTTTCAAAAAAATAGTGCGTCTGCTGATATCCACTAAAAATAATATTTGAAGTAATACATACGTACGTACATGCATACAGGCACACACACAATAATCTTGGACCAAATTTTCATGTCGCACAGAAACCTAATTTAATGTTTAAACAAACACAAATTGAAGCTTTATACCTACAAATACTTCTATTGGAACAAGACAACCATGTTACTACAAAGGTAGGTTTAAAAGAATTACTTAAAGCTTAATCTTATTAAACACCGTTATCATAAAAATCCGAATGGGATTACAAACACTCCTTTAATAAAAGCAGCCACACAACTAAAAAATAACAACAGTATTGTTATCCGACGAGTTGATAAAACTAATACTTTCGCTATTTTAAACGAGTGTGTCGGAGTTAACTCCTCCTTTATTTCCAAGTTGTTCACTAGGGCACGCCCGCCCTACACTATAAATAATGGGCGATTTCTTGCCTCCTTCTCTTTTTACTTTGCATTTCAGCGGACACATTTAAAATGTGATCTCTCGTAGAAATGTGTGTTTTGCCCACTTGTGTGAAAACGCCATCAAACATACACACACACATACACGTACGTACGAACATTCATCAAAGTACGAACTCTTTACGTTCACACAAACACAAATTTTGATGTCTTTTCCATTGTAAATTTTGTTGTTAATATATATATATATATATATATATATATATATATATATATATATATATATATATATATAAGAGAGAGAGAGGGAGGTCTTGTTTGTTTTCTTTACATCTTCGGTTTGACTCAACTTGAGTCCGCCATATTCTTGTATTGGATTTTTTCATATTCTATCAGGAGTTACACATGTGTTCCTAATTTAACAACACGTAAACCCGCGGCCCGCGACAAATACCACACAAAATTATAGACCATTTTGAACGATCATAATCAATTTAAAAAGTTAACCAAAAACACCACCTCCCAACTTAAAAACCATATCAATAAACTTATTACTGCTAACAATACTGACACAGGATCATATAAACTTCAAAAGATTATAGGTGACTATCAACCTGGCTACCTTTATGGAAATGTAAAAATCCATAAAAAAAAGATCATCCCCTTCGACCAATCATTTCACAAATACCTACACTAGTATATTACCTTTCAAAAACCCTTAATAAATTAATTACTCCCTACCTCCCAAGTAAATATTGTATTAACTCCACTAATTTATACAAATTCTTCACTCTGTAAAACCAAACAACCAAATAATCGCAATACTAAACGGACTATTTAAAATAAATTATTAATAGTCTACCACTTCGTCCCCAGCCCCTCAACCTCTTTGGGTTGAGGTGTCCACTCGGTCCGAACCGAACTTAGGGGTTCCCTGAGTACCCGTAGATACTCGTAGATTTCGACCGGTCAACTGGTTAAGTCCTGCTCGCTGCCCACGCTGTGTTAGTTTTTAGATCCAGTAAGCGGGGTGTTGTCCATACGTTCACGGTCGATTGGGGACGTGGACACGGCTGTGAGAGTTGGCGGTAGGAAGTTTAGAATGTGGCAAAATAAAACAAGAAATACTATCTGCAGAAGCCAGACAACAATGGGGGATATATTGACGTCTTTTATATAAGAAGATAACATCAGAACAGAGGTTACAGGGAGAATAAAAACATTTAACATAAATGAGAAAAGAAAAAGACAAAATGCATCCAGCGAATTCCCAACAGAGTGAGGGTTTGTGTGTGATAAACGCGTATTGAATCGCCTGGAGTAGGTTTATAACTAATAGTCCCGTCTCATACAGACTTCTCAGAACAGGGGGCAGTCTTCTCTCTCTCCTCCAAAATTCTCCCGCAAATCTCTCGACTCACTGCGACGATAGGCTCGTGACTCTTTAGACTACAGTCTCTTTCCCCACTATGCTTTATTAGCAAAATCTCGAGTTAATATAGAAAAAGGATCAGCTTATCACAATTTGACCCTCGGCCCGGCACGCAACTACCACGAGTGCCAAAAACTAGCCCTTGACATGTAAACCTATTCTCCAATTATTTACCTTATCTCAATCACGAGTTCTTCTCGCTTCACCAAAATTATACTTTGGGATATCTAAACATTGATTCAACCTTTTGATCAAAACAAATACTGTTAAACAAAACCAAGTATCTCGCCCATCCCCATTGTTTACTAGTGACCCAGATTTAAAACATCGCCTACTGCCCTGAGATCGTGTTTCTCATCAGTAAACACACATCTTAACCCAAATTGTACTTTGATATATAAACACCATTTCCACTTCCAGTCAATAAAAGTTATATTTGCGTGTGTGTATACCTCTCTCTGTTACATTAGTATGTACCATTCAAGTATCTTTTCATGACCCCCTAGGTAATATTTATACTCAAATAGAAGGTTTCGCGATGGGATCTTCATTAGGACACACTTTTTCTTCTTATTATATGACACATTTAGAAAATAAAATACTTAATAATACTAATAAACCGCCTATATGTGTAATTTTCAGATTTTTTTTCGGATTTTCGAATACAGACTATTTAATTTGAATATATCATTTATAAAACAGGACAGCTTGGGAATAGAAAACACATGATCCCTACGTACAAAAATATATATATGCAGGAATTTTTGATATTTTGAATAATATCTTTACTGAGCACGAAACACCACAAACGAAGCTGTGAAGATCGCTAACAAAAAATAAAAAAAATAAAAAAAAATAAACACTGGCTCCAACGAAGGCTCTGTAGCTCGGATGGGGAAAGGGCAAATGGGATCACGTACAACAGCTGCACATCACCTAGGAACCTTCACAGAGCTTTCTGAAATTTTCCATTTGTGGCAAGTCATGTCAGAACCTGAAAAACTATCGGATTTGGGAATTTCGGATAAAGGATACTCAACCTGTATTTTGGTTTTGTACTGTACTAAACTTGGTGTAACTGAAAGAAATTCTGTTCTGAATTCATTAATCGAATAACCATCAAAAGGGGAATGGATTCTTAGAATTCAGATAGAAGAGGTGGGAGATTGCATTGCACACATTTCCCCCCTTTTCTTACAAGTCAGCATTCGAAATTTTGATTAATTTTTATTTTAGGTTCAAACCCAATTTCTTATGTTAAGTATAGGTACTTTAACAATCAGTATTCATTTGAACCCCATTTACAAATACTGGAGAGAAAGATTAACCTAAAACAAGCGAAAACTATTTGAACTACATATACTGATTACACTTATGTATACTTATTGATTGAGTGCAACGTTAGCAGTAATGTACGTTAACCTGTTAGTTTTACTAACTTTTCATTTGGTAAATTCGTTGGTCGAATAACTATAAAAAGTGAATGGATTTTCATAGCTCGGCTAGAATTGTTTTTTTTTTTTGGTGGGGGGGTATTGATTTCACCCAAGGCAAGGCATAAAAGCCACTGAGACACAAATGGTTACTGACAGGGGAAGAATTACGAACAGAAACATTACTAATGAACGGGAAGCTAAAAGATTAATCAGGAGGAAAGTAGACAGCGATTGAAATTGCATTTAATATTTTGGAGATTAAAGTTCACTGGAAAGCATGGAGTTGGAAGGGAGTTCACGTGCGAGAAAAG